ATATTGATAATTACCTTATTGGTCCTTGTTTTCCCCTATTATCCATTCAGAAACTTTACTGTGTGATAGATTTTGTGCTGCAGGCAGACAGGCCGTCGTCAGCAGGAAAGATTAATGAGTTCATTGAAATGAGCTTATCCACTCCCACTGGTGCAAATCACCAAACACACACAGGTTTCCATCTCCAGTTTACACACAATGCGATTCCACTGACCACATGACTGCAATTTGACTTTTAGAAAATAAATTTGCTTGATGGAAATATGACAATTTTGAAATAAGTTTTTTGATAAATAATAAAAAAAGAAGCTTTTTTTTGGCTGTATTAAAATTTGGTTATTTCACGTCCCAGGAGTCACGTGCAGAATGACAGGATGTTACTACTGACGAAAACGACAAAGAAGACGACGACAGGAAGTATTAGGAGGCATAAATCTGTCAAAATTACAAAAATTCAAACTTTTACCTTAAAATATTAAGTTAATTGTACAAAAATGTTTTTTCTTGACATTATATATATATACAAGAAAATCCCACTGAAGTTAGAAAATCTCTTGTGCAAGAGAATCCTGACCGAGACTGGCAAAGACTTCACACAACATTCACAGCAAAAGCATAAAAAGTTCATCAAAGCCATCGATATATTTGTCAAAATATTCCTCAGTTGAAACAAATTATTGCTTTTTAAAAGTAGAACAACCTTAGAAACATTTAGTGAAAACAGCACCTTTAATTCATTTGTTATTTCAATATCACAAGGGAAAAATCTCGTTTTAAGTTAAATAATCTGCCAATAGAGCTATTACTATTTAATCAATATTAAGGAATTATTTACTTAAAACAAGCTCCTATGTCTTTCTGAAAAGTTACTTGCAAGTTTGTTTTGACCTTTTCTAAGTGAAGTAAGATATTTGTTCTAAAAACTGGTCCAAAAACACTTGGTAAGATTTTGTGTTTTTGTGGTGCAACTGTTGGTATTAACTATTCGCCTGCACCAAAACAAAATCATTTACATGGATCCCATTTCTACTAATATTTTTTTTTAAAAGCTCATTTGCAATAACTGGCTGTGGTTCTTCTGGCTCCACTGCCTGCTTGCATGGAAACTAAAATCTGCTTCTCTGTATGTGGATAATTTATAGCGCTTCATTCGGCGGTGGTTTACTGAGCTCACACACTCGAACAGATTCAATTTGTCACCCATGACCGGGTCTGGTGAGGTGGATGAAGAACTGTTTGGGCCTTTCCAGGTCACAAACTAAGAAGGCCAGGGTGTCGGATAAAGAACCAGCTCTGCAGGAAACCCAACACTTGGCCTCACATAAACACTCAAACTGGAACCATCCGAGATATGCCGACTTATTTACCACTGTAGCCAAATGATTTTAGAAGTCTGGCTCACAAACAGAGTGGGGCAATAACAAATATTTTAATTTTTGCTTTTTGATATTTAATTTTTGTGAAAAATCTGGATTTTTTTTCCAGCAATAAACTCATTGAATTTTCACAGTTCAGATAAAAACAATATGTATTAGAATGGACACATGACCAAAATCAAAGAAAATACTTTGATAGAGTAGTCAACATAAAATTTATTGATCACCGATTTCCATCCTGAACCACACAGCATTCTGGGAAATGTAGGCAGAGGAAACATTTCAGCTGCCAATCCTCTCACAGTGGCATCGACGAACTCGCCAAGTCTTTGGTTGCCTAGCAACCACCTGCAGGTACGAAGCAGTTCCAAGTTTCCCCCCAACTGTGGTTCCCTAGCAACAAATTGAAACGTAACTTGCGCAGCAACAGTTTAAAGTTTTTCCTCATAACTTCTTAAAACTAAGAAAACAAAAGAAAAAAAAAACTGTTGCGGAGTAAAAGCTGAATAAAGCAGGGAAGATCCCAGCAGCAGCTTGGCAATATTTTAGATATTTAAAAAACAACAAATTACCAAGTTATTTATTCATTTTCTTACTAAAACAAAGTTAGAATGTTAAAAGAATACAGTTGTAAGAATATAACATAAGGTTGTATGACAATAAGCTCAAAATAATAAAAATAAAGCCATAATAATAGAATTAAGTAATAATTTTATGAGAACGCCAAAAGACAAAGTATTATCTTCAGATTTTTTCTTATGAAAACCACTTTTTCTCGTAATTTTCAGACATTTTTCTGGTAAAATTGTGTCTTTATTCTGCTATTATTAGACTATAGTCTCATAATTAAACAAAAATTCTCAGTCTGGTTTGTACAACTCACAGAAGGAATAGCTGAAATAATAGACACTTTTAGAAAACACTTCCTGCCATTTGCAATTTACTTTTTTAAGAAAAGAAAGCGAGATTTTTTTTTAAATCAGAAATTGGATCAGGTACGGGAAAAGATAAAAAGTCATATTTCATTTCTAAGCCATTATCACATATTACAGAGCGAGAATGAATAATATTATATAAAATAGATACTTTAAAATAAGCGTTTTATTGTGAAAACCTGTAAAAAGGTGACTCCAAAATGATGTTAAATTCCACCTTTCTGTCCCTCAATATTAATTCATATCAGATCAATATTATCTTAGATACATAAATGCAGAATTGGCATGTTGTTGTATTGAATTTGTGTGATTTGTTGGCAGATTGAGGGATTATTTATGCCATGACATCCATCTGCAGTACCTACATCAGTCCACCAGGTGGAGACTCACACTATCTGGAAATAATCCACTGTACAATCCATCCCCTCTGGACACATTTCCCCATTTTTCTGATTTGAAAGCTTAGTTTTATTTATTTATTTCACTAATAGCTATTTGGTATTGATCCAGCCATCCAATAAAAGATCCAATCCATTAATTTTCTATTTCCTTAAGAGGCAGGACATCCATTACGGCCAAAGTCTCTGTCTTTCCAGTTGGACAAATATTTGACATGATACAACAAGACACCAGCACAGGAGCTGCATATTAAAAGCGGAAGCTGGCGGCTGGGGAAGCAGGTGATTTCTGTAGAGAGAACCGAGGAGAGGGAAACCCTGCGCTGTAAGCCAATTACTATTATTAGGGATTCTTGGTATTAAAGAATGAAAGCCACTGAACACAGATATATTGAACAAGAGGCTCAGCATGGTTAAACAAGCTGGGTACGCTGAAACGGTTCAGTTCAGCAAAAAAGGGAAAGAAATGATTGTCATGTATGTGGAGGAAATTATTTACAACTGCCTGCATCGTACAACAGTCTGAATGCCTGCCATTGTTTTCACAAATTGGTTTCCAGTAAAGCCAGTATAGACGTGGCTTCTACTTGTTTATGTCAAGCTAATTTCTCTGTGAAAGTAAAACACAGACTAGCTGGGACTCAAAGACATGCAGGCATTTTTACAGCAGCTTATGTTGCATTGCAGTTACCTTGGAAATCTGAACTTTGGTCTGAAACAATTAATCGGATTAATCAATTATCAAAATAATCGTCAACTGATTTAGAAATTGATTGTTAGCTTAAGAATACAGACTCAGTAAAAGCCATTTGTTCAAAGAATGACACACTGCAGCAATTAAGCTAAGATTATACGTTTTGTATTTAGCATTTTTTAAAAGTTTTTTATTAACAAGCTTTTCATGTTACCACTGCTCATGTCAGCAGCTGAAACAAATTTTCCATTGTGAAACAAAAGGCAGCAATATAAATACTTTCTTGCCTCTTTTTTTACTGTATTAAATTGCTGACTTACAAAATTCTGTTTTGAATGGCGTCATAACTTACAACAGAAAAAGTATAAAACTTCTAGATGATTAACTTTTTTTTGGAAAGGAGGCCTACATGATGATGGGGCATCTTCTCCATGGTAAACATTAATTAAGACACACAGTTCCTCCATAATGCAGTATTTGTTTGCATCCTACAAATCTTACTTATGAAGTATGAAAGTTGATGTTCTTACCTTGTAAGTGTTCTTTGCTGCCATTCTTAGATCAATGGCGGCTGTCCACCGCCATTTTCTTTCTTTATCAAAAAGTTAAGATAAAATTAACTTTTTGGTTCGCATCCATATCTGTTTGCGTAGATCCAGACGCCATTTTTAAAATGTAATCAATTAACTAGTAATAAATTAACTAGAATATGAATTGACGCACAAATAGGTTGTTTTAATGTCCATCATGGCGGAGTGGGCCGCTTTCGTCACTAAGACTCTGATGTCTGATTGGCTGCTTTAAACAGCGAGGAAAAACAGTTAGCTAAGACTCCGAGGTCAAGACCTTTCCTGCAAGTGCATAAATAACTTCAACAATACAATTAGATATAAGCAGTTTATTTACCACACACCCGGGGAGAGCAACTCCGGCTTCGTTTTAGTCTGAAATGTAGTTAGCTTGTGTTAGCCAGCGTTAGCCGCTGTTAGCAAGGCTAACGTCCTGTCTTTAAGTCTGCTGCAGCAATTTTGGAAACTTATATTTCAGACCAAATTTGAATGATAAAGTTGCAGTTTCCCACCTAGAGTTTGTAATAAATAAATGGCAACTATTGATTGTAGTTATTTTGACATTACCAGTGAAAATGACCCGAGTCTACCAAACTGGAGGAGCAACTTCCTCCATGTTTGGATCCTGACATCCAATCAGATGTCAGGATCTCCCCTAATCCCGCCCACAATTTGAAGTTGACTGTTTTATTCATGATGGGCTTCAGCACATAAATTATTAAAATATGAAATTATTCTATCTAGTTTTTCAAATGAAATGAATACATTTAATTAAGGCACATATACTTACCAATTATACATTTTTTAAAAAATTAATCAAACTTCATGTCTGAAAACTTTTAATCTCAAAAACACTCCAACAAAATCCATGTGCAAAGTTTAACTGTCTGGGTCTTGCAGGTTTTTTATCAGTTTTTCTTGATAATCTGCCACTTAACATAAAAACTCTGAAATGGAATATAATTTGGATTTGTTTGGTAAATTGGCGTTTCCATCAGATTAGCAGTGAAAAAAAACAACTACAACAATTGTTCTCATAAAAATGTATTTATTTCGTAAATAATATTTCACCTCTAATGAATACAGACAGGAGGGACAGAATAATTTATCAGTGGACAGAAGTGATAACTCAGGACACGGAGCAGCACAGATCTGATGGCTTTGACATTTTCACTCTGATCCTCATGATTCAATTAAGGAAACGTTCATTTGATTCAACTTTAAAATGCATTTTGCTTGTTTGGGGCCATAAAGTTCAAACTTGGCTTGATTCTATTTCACAAATATCTAAATTTAATCAAAGATAACAGAGGGGAGAAGTCAGCAGCTGATAAAAAGAAGCACAATTTATTTCTGATGGATGATTAAATATTGAACGACAATCTTAAGTAATCTCCTAAATGTGTTCAAGACATTTTAAGGTCATTATGAATGCAATTTAAGACCCATGTCTTCCGAGAAATGTACCAAATAGCAAATAATTTGCCCTAGCCCTTGATAGAGATCTAGCAAACTCTAGTAACAACTAGCTGCTAACAAAGCTAAATACAATAGTTACTAGTTAGCGGTAGCATCAACCGTATCGAGTCACTGAACAACTCGAACTTTTGCCTGACAATAAAAATCTTACAAGAAAAGAAAACCCAGAATATACGAAATAAAAATGTTCACAAAATTCAAGAAGAGCAATTAATATATCAAAGGCCAACTTAAAAAAAAGAAGAAAAAATTATGACATTTTAATACAACAGAGTATTAAGGCCATATAAAAATAAATTATAAGTAATGAGGACAAAGCCAATGTTACAAAATTAAAAAAAAAACAACATGAGCATAAAGTCGTAAGAATGAGAAAAAGTGATTATTACCAGAAGTTATACAAATCACTTTATTGTGTTTTTATCGTCTTACTTTCAATTGATAAATTATAATAAGGAAAATAAAAATAAAACATTTAAGAGAATAAAGTCAGAAATCTGACGTATGCGTTTGACTCAATTCTCATAATCTTTATTTCCTTAGCATGACCCCAATACTCCATTGTACTTAAAAGCCTTAATTTAGATAGATTTAAACATTTTACGCATGTGTGCACAACTGGCAATATTTATTTGTAGCTTTTTTGGCCAGCAGCTCTACTCACTCTGACCACAAGGGGGCAATAGATCTGCAGTTTCATGTATGGTTCTGCCCTCCTCATGCAGAAAAAGGTCCAGCAGCAACATCAATGCAGAAACGAGACAAACATCCAGACCTGGAGATGGTTCTACAGTCCTGATGGATTTCTGAGATGGAGACATTTTGAAGCAAATCTTTTTGTTTTTCACACAGCCAAAAGAAAAGAGCTGGATTTCTGATCACATTGAAGAAGGAAAAGGAACGATCCTTGATCTCTTTCATCATTCAGATGCAAATACTGTGATAAAAGGGGAACCAACCATTTAAACAGAAGTGCTTAACAAGAAATGAGGAACAGGAAACGACCGCCTGTCAGATAAAAGATGCTTTTGAGTTGCATGATGGGAACTACAGCTCAAACGTTGCATCTTAAACTGAGCCATCATGTTTTTAAACTGTCCAAATCCATACAGTAAAACTAAAAAGGTTCAAATTTGAACAGCTTGTAAAAATTTAAACCAATTGAAATTAGAAAAGTGAAACTCCAGATGTTTTATGAAAAATGTGTTCTGTTGGTTTATTCAGCTTCTCCGAAAACAAGAATATCAAAACCTAAAATGCTTGACATTTCTCCAGCTGTTAGTCACTGCTACCATCTACAGAAAGGGTAAAGCCATAAAAGATAACTGCAAAAAATAACAACAAAAAAAAACTGGCTCTTTCAGGGTATGTAAGATTTATTAATGGATAGTTTAGTGGAAGGAAAACGTGTGGCAGGGAGAAAAAAAAAAAAGTCAAACTTTCTGCCGGTTTTATGAACTCAAGACATTTTAAGACCCTTGTAAATTAAATTTAAGAAATAAAATTACTAATTTTATATGGCAGTGTCACGCTTTTTTAATTTATTTTTTACTCAGAATGAACATTAGCATCGTACGGGCCAACAGAAACGAGAAAGTGGAGAAAACAAGCAACATCTGATCAACTGTCAGAAAATTCTCACAGACATAACAAAATTTAAGACGTGTTTAACAGCAAACTTTCAAAAAATTCACTAATTGAAGACATTTTCGATAAACGAATTCAAGGATGTGCAGACACTAAAAATGCCCTTTACACCTTTTTCCTTCCACTAAACTTTCCCTTAATGTAATTGGATGGATCATTCAGAGCAACTAGCTTCTTTAGAAACAATCTTAGGGCGGCTAATTGATGACAACATTTCTGTACTAAATGTTCTTTTTAATCGTCTTTTGTAATATTTTCGTTTTCTGTGAAACTGTTTTAAATGGATTAAATCACAACACTTCCCACCAATGGAGCATCTACATCTTCCTTCAGGCAGGCAAGATTGTAAGAATGGTTCACGTTAACTACAATACCCATGATGCAACTCAGTCAGCTGGTTCTGCTGTGGAAACATTGGCTTCAAGTCCACTTTAACAGCTTTCCAAAAGTCACAAAAATACTTTCAGGAGACTTGATTCAACTGCAAATAAACTTGATAATTTTATTGAACATCAATAAATGAAGGTCCATCCTGGTCGATCAGCAACTATGAGGTCAGCTGGTTAAAAGAGCATTTTAGTAAATTATCATTTAATTATTCAAACTGGACATTTGTCTTTAAACTCCATGAACCAATAATGTGATATATGCAAGAAAAACAACAAAAAAACCTTTTACAGCTATAATAAATACACCTTCGCATCATCAGTCGCACCTGTTTGTGTTTCTTACAGAAAGTAAACAACAATATTCAAATAATTAGCAAATGGAAACCTGTTCTTCCTGGGTGTGCTGAGGCTACTGGTGTCCAGTTTAAACCAGTTAGACGTCTTGGTGGGAATTAGTAGCCTTCAGGAAGCCTCAACACTCACATTCACACACAGAGGAAACGAATGCGGCGAAAAGAAAACAGCAAAAACGTGGCATGAATGATTTCTGAGGTGTTAATGAATTTCTTTTGAAGCAATGAGAAGCAAGAAAATGTGATATTTCTGATATGTGGTTTGTGGAAACGCTCAGCTTTTCTTTCTGAAGGAATTTTCCTGAACATGAAAACATTCTTCAGTCTACTTTCACCGCAAAAACGCAGAATATCACCAACTGATGTGGTTTAATTTCTAGTGCAAACATCTGAGTTCATTTAATGTGAGACAAAACTAACTTACAGGAAACAGAAGTTTGTTGTGAGTCGATTCCTAAACATTGATGAAAAAGTTTCACTTCTGACCTGGGCTGAGCTTGGCTGGCGTTGCTAGCTAACGGCGCAGCGCTGTTCGTATTTATTATTAAGGAATTATAATAAATATATTATAATAAATGTTGGAGCTTGTTGTAGCAAGCTCCAACATTTTGCCAACAAGTTAACTGTGAATCAGTTTTGTCTTAATTAAATATCTGCACTAGAAACTAAACCAAACTTGATTTTGTTTTTGCAGCGTTAAAGAGCATCAACGCCAACTTCCAAAAGCTCCTCGCCGTTACGCTTGTCGATAAATTATTTCTCTGGGAAACGTTCAGGAACCTGGTTATGCGTTTTCCCGCCTTGCATCTTTAAAATAATCCCTGCGGTTTGTGGTTCTGTAACTAAGAGGCTTTTGGTCGCTGGGCTGATGGAGAAAAGGCATTTTTCACTTCAAAAACACAAAATCCCATGAAGTATTTTGGTCTCGTTTCCAGCGCAAATGTTACTAATTTACAAGCAACTTTTCAGCACAATATATGAGCTTGTTTTAAGACAATAACTCTTTAATATAAAAGTGAGACAATTGAAGTTTTTCCATCTTAAATGTCGGTTTTACTGGAAGATTAGTTCCCTCACAACTTGCACTTTTTCATCAATATCAAGGCGTCGGAGTTAAAAACGCTCCCATATCTCCCTGAAGAGCCTCTAGTCAGTTAGGTTTGTCTCATCTTACGTATACTGAGATATTTGTATTAGAAACCAAAAATACTTGGTGAGAGTTTGTGTTTTTGCAGTGCAGGGAACAAGAACAAGGAAACAAGAGGCTCCAACAGGTTTGATCTGCAGTTCCATCACTTGTATTAACTATATGGCTTTTTTAAAACATCCGGCTCATCCGGGGGACGAGAGGGCACAAAATATTAACTACAACTATAAGAGCTTCAATCAGGCACAAAAATAAAGAGCTACACTCCAGTCTTGATCCGGGCGGTCTTTGGTACCACAGTAGTTTATGTTGCGGGTCCCGGCAGAACCTCTGGATGCTACAGAACTCGTTCCCGTCTCACCGGCAGTTTAAAGGTGCAGCAGCGGATCAGATTCCTGGAAGCAGCGGGATCTTCAGCTGAGCTTCGAGCATTTCTCACCGCAAAAACCAAACCTTGCCAAGCATTTCTGTCCAATTTCTACTGCAAACGTCTTAGATCACTTGAATTAAGACAAAACTAACTTAGAAGCAACTTTCCAGCAAGAAGTAGGAGCTTTTTCTAAGTCAATATTTCAGTAATTTTAATGAGAGTTCCACTTTATCTTCTGAAAAATGTCTAACAATTGAAATAATCTGCTTAAAATGGGCCAAACTAAGAAAAATATTAAAATAAAATGTTGAAAATAAATTTGGATATGAATGAAGTTAGAATAATACAACTTTATTCCCGTAGTTTAATCTTTCCATAGTGTGGCTCTGATATCGTATCGAACTTTTACGTCAATCAACATGAAGGCATTATTTACTTTATAAAAGCTCCTACATCTTGATGAGAACTTTCTTGTAAGGTAGTTTTGTCTTAATTCAAATGTACTAAGACATTTGCAGCTGAAACTTGACCAAAAACACCCGGTTAGATTTTGTGTTTTTGCAGCGTTAGCAACATTTGTAGAAAAAAAAAATAGTCTGGATAGAGTAAGTTTGCTAATATTCAGGTCTGTTTTCTGTTCAGAGGAAAGAAACCGATGTCTTCCTTGTTTTTAAATATGTTTCTCGGATCATCTTTCAGGAATCTGATATTTCCTGTCCGTGCGCTGATCGTATCTTCCGACGGGAGACGGCAAAACCAGGCCGACCCGTTTCATTTCCTCTGATGCTCGTCTCGTTCTTTCTAAGAATCGGTGAGCCGCAGGGACACAAAGACGCTACGGACCCGATCCTGGCTGGTTCCCACTGATTTTAAACTGGAGTGGGCTCGTAAAACGGTACCGGTGTGTGTGTTAGGGGTGGCGGCCGTGGGAGTCAACAGCGGCTGGCCTCGATGGGCGACAGAGTCAGGATGGTTCGGTCATTGGAGTAGAAGTTCTCTGTGTCGCTCCAAGACCTGGAAACAGCAGTGACTGAAGGTTAGGAGACAGGCGCAGTGTGTGTGTGTGTGTGTGTGTGTGTGTGTGTGTGTGTGTGTGTGTGTGTGTGTGTGTGTGTGTGTGTGTGTGTGTGAAGCAGGAGAGCTGAGGTGTCAGTAGCTATAAAAACCAAAAATGATCCCAATCAGTCAGGCTGGAGGAAGCAGAGCGGATGGGTGGATGATGAGTTAGTGAAGGGTGGATGAGTTAGCGGCGAGTTCCTGAAGTCTCTCCTCATTAAACCGTCGTTCAGCTTTTACTTCAGACGTACGTTTAGTGTGAGAAGCGTTAGCAACCATTAAAAATTAAATGAATCGGTAATTAAGCTTCTGCAGCAATTGGAAGTAATTACAACTGTAACTAATCGATTATTCAGACAATTAATCGGATACAAAATTGCTGTGTAATGCTGAGTTTTTCATTCACTTCAATTCCTTTTTTAAAATAAAAAGCAAACATTTAAATAATTGTCACTGTTTGAACAACAGGAATCAATAACCAGATCAATGCCTCCTGCACAACCAGCAAGATTTATGTGAACCATAAGTCAACAAGAGCCTCTTGTTGACCTCTTGTCTTTTCCAGCAGCCATTGTACAGCAGTAAAACCAGCTGCTGTGGTTGCTACGTGACAGGCTTCACTGGGGTTGCTCGGTAACAAATGACAGTTAAAAACTGGGAGGTTTTTGAAAGGGCTCATTTTCCAGACACCAAAACACAGCTGGTGTTTCTTTTAAGTGCTTGGGTTGATTTTAGAAGCAGTTGAAACTCAAATGGAGGCATGAAGACAAACAAAATGTGAATTTTGCTTAATAGTTCCCCTTTAAGAGTCGGTGAGGGGAAGAAGGAGGCCGGCCAGGGGCCTTCACCTGGCCTGTGACTCAGATGGTGAATTAACTGGAGGCGCTTACATCACATACGCTACATCAGCATCTCAGCTCGTCTAACGGAGGAAAACAAAAAACAAACATCTGAGCTCAGAAACCATCTCTAAGTTCAGACAGAAAGCTTCAGGGAACCGAGAACAGGACACGCCGATTTCTGGCATTAGCAGCACATGAATAATTAATCTGAGATTAATGCAGACTTTAGGAACAAAGGGACAAAAAACACAGAGGAGGAGAAGGAGAGTGACTGTGACATAAGCAGATCCAGGTGACATTGTATACAAAATACCACAGGAAGCCTCAACGCAACAAAACGGTTGGAGTGTTCTTGTTTTGTACTTCCTGTCGAATGGGGGTAGTTTTTCAACTCCGCTCGGCTGGAACATCAGGAACTATAAAACAAGCGCTCCCTTTGTGTTGGCCTCTTCTCAGAAGCAGACGTGAGGCTTCAGGATCCAATAAAAAGCAGTCAGTAGATGCAGGAAGTAACAAAAGAAAAGAAAAACCCTCCAGACGTAAAACTACACTTCCCAGAAGCCACATTCCTTCTCACTCCGATTTTCACCAAACTTTGGTTCTTAAAACAACAGGAACCGGTTATGACTCAGGTGATGCACCAGTAATACAGTCAATAAATAAATATTTCTGCTACATGGTTTGTTCAGTTCTGACACAAAGAATACTTTTCCGCTATGGCAGTATCAATTCACTCCAATTACCTTTTAAACAAACCATTAATAATCTGTTTTCACAATCTGAAAGGGGAATTGTAGATGAAAGAAGGTATTTGGTTTGCATATTAGGATACTACTCTTCCTCCATCTGCAGAGAGTTAGGAGAGACAAAGCAATGCAGAGGGATAAAACAACTGCAGATTCCATTTATTAACTTCATTGTTTCCATTATAGTAAAAAGCCGACCGCTGCAATATACATTACGTCCTCCGGTTTTTTCTTAAATCCTGTGGGATGGAACAAATTGGTTGTGATTTGTCACTTGGAGGAAACCAATTGGTTGCTTTGTGCCAAGGTCAGAAAACAAATCAATCAACCCCACAGGAGGCAATTCGTCTAAAGTGAATCATTCTTTAATGGGAAAATCTCAGCCTGAAGGTTTGTGTTTGTTTCAGAGAACTGACCCTGACAGCGACACCGCGCAGCCGCAAGTAGGGAAACATGTTCACCCACAAATACTGACAATATACATCTGCAGTAACGCACACAGAGAGATGCACCAATCACAAATGGAGACCAATTTCAGGTCTGCAGGTTTTTGTTTCGTTCTTTAAAAAACTGCATTCGTAAAACTGTTTTTACAGTCGTTTTAGCAGAGGAAAGGAATGTAAAGGAGTGTAAAGTCACTTTAGTACAAGTTTCTACTGGTAATTTAAACAAAGACAATTTTCCATCGATCTTTACCAAAATCAAAGTTGTTTAAACAGCTGATAGTTGGTTGATTTGCTCTGATTGGGGACCAAAGGTGCAGCATTTGTTTTATTTTTAGCTGCTGTGGTTCTCTTTCAAACGATCCAAATCTTTTGAGAAACCTGTTCCCCTCCTCGCCTGTGGGGGCGCTGCACCAGCATCCACTGAAGAAGACGCTTGGCGCCACTTCCTTCTTCACGACATATAAACAAAAATGGAGTAGCGACAGAAATTAGCGATTGTAGGGTTTCTCTTGACAATGACAATTTCTCCTGCTACCGCTAGCTCAGCACGTTTGTTTACCCAGAATGCTCTGTTGTAGCGCTCTTCCTGATTTGGAGAAGTCTCTGGTCTGCTTTGTGTTCACATATGCATTTCCATTAACCAAATTAAAATTACGAAAACACATTTATTTAACAGAAATGTGCCAATTTTGAGAAGTTTTTACACTTTTTTCTCAGCTGCATCAAAGTTTGTGTTGCGATAGAAAAACTTTTTTACCTCATGCTAATTTGTCAATAGCAGCAGAGAGCTTATTTATGGACACTGGACTCTGTGGACAATGTGGAAAAGTGTTTGCATCCGTCGTTATTTTAAGTTTTCTCTCTCACAGCTGTAAGAAAGACAGTATCAATAAAAATGACGAAAACTATGATCAATAATTAAGCTACAAACTGATCAAATTGGTCAAATTCTTGGGCATTCTTTAATTTCCACTGCATATTTTTTCCTTTTCTAATACACACATCAATTAAAAGAGAGGAAATTTGGCAACAAAAGACATGAATGTAACATCTTCATTACTGATCAAATCAATATCTGGAGTCCTGAGACATTTTGAGAAGAATCGACAGCTCAGCAGAAAGGGCTGATCACTTCGTCTGATCAATAACCCCACAGAGTCGCTGGGATTCAGGTGGACTCTGATAGAAACTGCAAACCGAGAGCTCAGCCTCCAAACCGCCAAGTAAAACCTCAACATTTCATAAAACCACCTGGATCTGCAGCGCTGATTAACTGAAAGCTACCAAGCTGCACTGAACGGACGTCATGCTACGTTAGCATCGTTCCTAAATATCAGCCGGGGACCCACAATGCATTGCTGCTCAGTGAAATAAAAACATTAATAAGAAAAGAGTCCACTTCCCACTGCTGTTTGTAGCTAAATATTTAATGTGTATAGTGTCAGTAAGCATTTAATATTTGGATACTTTATGATTATACCAGCCGGCCATTATCACTGCGATGAGGTTTCGGCTACAGATACAGTGTTGGCCGAAGCCGACCGGCTACTTCATGATGTAGTAATGTTGTCTGTTAAAGTGCATAACAAACTACAGCATTTTCCCTAAAAGACCCGCTCCCCGTCTGGACATCAGACGTTCGTTTGAGGAAGGATCACAGAAGAACAGGAGAATCAAGACAGACGACACAACAGATCACAGCACATGGCAGACAGACAAACGGCAAATACATTTGCAAAGGCGTCGGATTTACAGACGAGACACTCAAGAAGCTGCGTTTCCATCGAAACCGCGCAGAGTGGAATTTATTCGCTTAATGGGAGATACTGATTTCCAAATACTCAATAAAACTTTTACCATTTTCACTGTTTTTCAGACGCATCAAATTTTGTTTTTCACAAAACTGGAAATATTTTTTGTGTCATGCTGGTTTGATTCCTGCAGAAAGTTGAAAACTGGGTCTAACTGGGTTCCTTAGAAGAGATGCGCTGTTTACATTCATCGCTGCCATGATTTTTAATGATTTATTATGGGAACAAACCTATTCATGTGTGATTTTAATTTAAAATACATTTGCAAAGTTGTACTTTTTTTTAAATAAGTGGAAGTTTTCGCACATATTCATTGGAAACGCAGCATTACATGCATTTTTGCAAGGCACAAATATCAAATGTGCGAAAATGTCGAAAGAATACAGTTTTGTTCCGTTAAATAAGTTCAATTAAAATTACATGTGAATAAGTTTGTTGACGTGATAAATCATTAAGCAGCAGCGTCATCCTGCTGCTACTTCCTGTCACTGCCTCGTCCTTCTGCCAGCAGCAAGACCCGCTTCATCAGGTGATTCGTTTCATGATAAACTGGCCCAGAAGTTATTGCAATAAACGATAATAATGTTGTTTTGCAGTAACATAAGAACACATTGACTGGAACTGGAAGACATTTTAAATATCCAAAATAAATAAAACAGAAAAATATTTGAAGGAAGGAATCACGAATTTTCTGTTTTCTTCAAAACAGAAAATTGTTTTCCTTTTTTAACGGTGAGAAAAGGAAAACAATAAATCATGCTTATGGAAATCACTGAGCTTTAATTTATCATGCAATTAAATGTTTGATTTTTTCATTGCGACAGGCTTAAGAAGTGTTTCCACTGCAGTTTTGTGAATTACAGCTGAAAAAAAAACACTAGCACAAAAAGGTTTTTTCTAAATTGACTGGTTTCCATTAAGCAGATTTATTTTCATAATCCCAATTATTCCAGTCGTTCGGTCAATGGAAACGCAGCTGCTGATGTGCGAACCGTGATCAATAAATAAAAATATCGTACCAAAGTCTCCCTGGTCACAGAACAACCATCGTACTCTGAAGCGTTAACCTCTAAATTTTTGGTTTCATTGCCTTTCCGACTCCAAACTCCGCCGGATGTGTGTGTTTAATCATGCCGCAACAGAAGAAGTCTGTAAGTGTTTCATCTTCAGCCTCCAACTCCTTCCTAAAACCAGCCTTTAAAAACCACCGACGCTCTGCTTCCCCGCAGTGCGGCCGGATCGCGGGCTAAAACACTCGGCGCTGCTGCCCAAATCAAAAGACGGTTCATCAGGATTGATAATCATCGATTCTCGGCGACGCTGCAGTCCTCCCCACCTGTTGCTGCGGCTGGATGAGTGGCAATTGTTGACGCCGGCCTTGCATTGTCCCGTCATTTGTTCCAGGAGGCGGGCCAGGCGGGAACAGCCGCTTTGCCCATGTTGGTAGCAGCACAGGGACTCCACACAGCTGAGGGCCTGCGCCTGGGGGGCGGATAGAGACTGCAGGAGAGCAGAGACGGTGAGAGCAGGAGGAGCCAGAACAAATGTGTGAAAAACAGGAAGCATGGGTTAGTGAAACATCATGAGCAGAGGGAAGAGAACAAGACAGCAGGAGAGATTGGTGGATAAAAACGAGAAGAAAAAAAAACATGTTAGATCAAATAGATGCAGTTGAACAGTTTCTGTGATTGTTCAGTAAGAGTGACGGGAAGATGATGCTGCATGCTGTCTGGTGGCGATGAATTACAGGGAATACACACAACATGCAACAACAACACGGGAAAAACAGCAATGTACAAACTTTTACTCCTAAATAAATCCCGGAACGTATGAAGGAGGGCGATGGAAAGAAAATATAAAACTAAAATAATGAGAAAAGGTCGCATGAGAATAAAATAGAAAGAGAATAAAGTTGTAGTATTTAATATGAAATTGGAGAGAAGCTGATTTTACCATTTTCAAACTTTTACCTAATAGAAAAATCCTGTGAGACAAAAACTACATAGAATACAAGAGACTAAATAATCTCGTCACAACAAAATATTATCCCAGACAGGATCATCTAAATGAATCTGCATAAAAGTTAATTTATTTGAGTAATTCCATTTAATAAAGGGAAACTCATTGATTTACTCCACAGGCTGACACTTTTCAACTTTCATTATTGATTCCAGATAATGAAAATTCCTCTGTTATTGTGAATATAACAATAAAATGATTTCCATCAGACATTACAGAGATATTGACTGAATAGTGGTCACCTCTGCAAGGAGTTTAAGCCACAAATTTCGTTGGAAAGTTTGATGAAAGGAAAAACAAGCAGGACCCTCAAAACAAAGTCCTGTAAGTATCAATACCTGGTTCAATGACAATGGTTCCTTTACTGGCCTGAGCCCAATAAAGAATCTGTGGGGATTATTGTCGAGAGGAAGATGAGAAACATCAGAGCCAACAGTGCAGACGAGCTGACTGGCAGTTTTAAATCAACCAGGGCGTTCTCAACACGTCAGCAGGAAACAAAGCCTGATTACCTCCAAGGAAAGCTGCAGAGATGCAGCAATTTATGCAATAGGAGGCCTGAGGTATTCAGTGCATACAACACATAATTCATGGACAGCTTTCAAAAGACCTTCATTTCTGTTTTTTTTTTTTAAATCCTACTTTTCACCTTGCAGAAGACAGAGTTTATAAGCTAAAATACAACATTTTATGTTTGAAATCTGTCTTACACTTGACTGGTCCAAGAAATTTACAAAAAAAAAAAAGTCTAAAAAGTGTCACCAAGTTTTTTCATACATGTGCACGTAATCTGCAAGTCGAGTTTTATGCAAGTTTCAGTTACTCAGATTTAAGACTTTTTAAGACCACTGTGAATATTTTGTGTCTTTTAGCAGCAGCTTTGTGCTTCTCATATGCCATATTGCTCTCTAGCTGATTAGCCAGTAAATTAGCTTGCTGCTTCCAAGAGCTAACTAGCCTGCTAACTTCAGCTTGCTAGTCAACTTTCTAGTTAGATGGCTAGAGTATTAATTAGGTAACTAGTCAGTAGTTAGAAAGTTAATTGGACTTAACTCTAGCTAGCTGGTCAGCTACCTATAGAATGAACTAGCTAGCTAACTTCAGCTAGCTGGTTAACTCTTTAGCTAGAGAGCCATATGCTAGCTGCTAAAGACTCATGTGCTAGTTTGCTAGCAGTTTGCTAGCGGTCACGTTAACCACATGGAGTCATTAGCGAACGCAGCGAGTGAAGGCGTCTGTGCACAACTCAAACTTTTACCTAATAGAAAAAACCTGTGAGACAAAAACTACATAGAATACATGAGATTAAATACTCTTGTCACAACAAAATATTAGACCTGTGATTAGTGTATTTAATGTCAGCTTACATTTTCTTTGATAGATTTAAGACATTTTAAGGCCCTAATGCTCAATAATTTAAGACTTTTAAAGTCTTAAGCCCTGGGAATTTTACTACTGAAATTGATAAACATTTCGTTGATAAATGAAGTTTTAAGCAGTCGAGGAACTAAAACTAAAAGTTTATGTTAGCATTTATATTTGTGATGGATTGCTCCACATGGTTTAGATTTAATTTACGATGAAGTAAGGCCTTCTGATCTGATTAACAAGCAACAGCCTTTACTGGATGGGACTCCATGTTTTGTATGAAATAAATTTTGTTGCAAATCAGATTTATCTGAGAGCTTGTGATGCACGGGTAAACAAAGCTGGCCAGAAACATCTGGGATCAGATTGTTCGTCCGATCTGAGTCAGCAGCCCGGAGACGGCGGGCGGGCGGGTGATGTAGACGAGGCAAAGCCAGGATCACAGAGACGGAAAAAGGAACGGAGTCAGGTTACACTCTGGTTCCTCACAAAGGAATGAAACTGGGGAACATTGGCATTTAGTAATTCACTGTGGAAATTAATTACAGGAGGACAAAGAGGCAACAAATTGCCTTAATTATCCAAGTCCAACTGAAAGTAAATTCATATATAACCAAAAACTGAATTTCCAATTTGAAGATAGAGGATATCAGAGAGTTTTATCTGCTCTTTGAGGCCGTATCTGCTAAAGGTGCAAGCCACTGTCCTCTGATGTTTTGCTGCACCAGAAATATGAGACGCTGGCTTCAAGCCAAACTTTTGCTTCTTGGCTGCAGACAGCAAAACATAAACAAATCAAACTCCACATAATTTATTCTCAAACTAAAGTGCTCTTAGGAGGAACTGCAAATAGCACATTCCTCTGGTCAGGGTTCACTCACTCGGTGGCCATAAAGCAAACCAATCCATACACGTTAAGCACCTGCGTTTTTTTGCTTTAAATGCGACACATTTCCTTCGGTGAAAATCAAGCGCTGCAGGTCGACAGGCGACTGTTGGATTTAGCTTGCAGTAAAACCAAACCAATGGGATTCAAAGAGAAAACAGACTGAGGAGTGAAGTACTCTGAGTGTTTAGAGGGAAACGTGAAACTGCTGCTGCACGCGTTACAGAGCAGGGTGTTGCTAGGCAACCAACGAGTGGGTCAATTAGTCGACTCCACCAGCCTTGGTTAGCTAGCCCTGAGAGGTTGAGCGGCGAAAGCCGTTCCTCCGCCTACATCCCCCAGAATGCAGTGTGGTTCGGCAGAAGACTTCAGTGAAATTCATCAACATTCTTTGATTAATTTCCTATTGATATTGATCACAATAGATATTGTCATAATTTTATCAAATTCCTCCCATTTGGGACAAAAACAAAACTGTGGTCCAAAGGGAAATAGAAGTAATTTATTAACCCTAAAACAACTGAGTCCGCAGTCGGCTGCCTCTATGATTAAAAGCATTTAAATTCTCATTCTGGCACAAATTACGTCATTCAGGAGTTTTTTTGTCTTGTGTTTCGTAGTTAATGAAACTGCTGGTTCACTGGTGGTCAGAGGGATTTGCATTTTCTCCAAAACATTTGTTATTGCTTCACTTTTGCCAATGCATTTACTTGGCTCTTCGAAACAACAAACCAAACTTCATTTAAAAGTTAGTTTCATATTTTAACTTATTAAAAATCAGTTCTACAGTTTGATGTCTGTAACGTTTAGCTGACTACTGGAAGGAGGGTCAGAGTCAGTTTACCTGGCACTATGCCGTCCCTTTCAGATGTTTTCCTTGCAATTGTTTTGGCTTAAAATAGCTGATTTTTATTTTCAAGCTTCATATTTTCCATAAATGGTCACATAACTTTTCCTTTCCTTGTCTGTTGCTCATCATCCCTCCTTACCTGAGCTGACCCTGCATCACCGTCCTGCTGCTGGCCTCAGGTCTAATGTCTGCTCCCTGACTTTCCGCGCTTTCTATTTTAACAATAAAAAATTACTTTCAATATATGGAAAGCAACTGTGAGCACAACATCTGTACAGAAATTACAGATAACATTAGTATTCTTGTTAACAAGCTTAATATGAGATAGCACTGGAGAATAACTAGTCCTAGTTTAGCTAGGATCATCTCAACTTACGCCTTTTCTTTGGAAGCGTACTGCAACATTTTCTTTTGTTTGGCTCTGGCTCGTTGCAGCTTCAGCTTTCAAGGGATGTCATGAAACACAAAATTAAATCATAAGGTGCTCAGCGGATTGGTCAGAAAACATGGAAACGTTGCGATAACTGGTGAAAAGTCTGTCCAAAATTTGCCAAAAATCTGACACAATCACAACTTCCTGTGGTTGTAACATTTATTGTATCGGTTATTATTTATCGTGATGCATTTCTGATTTATTCTTGTCACGATAAATTCCAATTAATGACCTTTAAAATCCCCCAAAACTGTCAGGATTATTAGTTGTACCACTGTTTAGTGAAAGTAACAACAAATTTCAATAGATTTGACAATATCAATAAATGTAGTTACTGTTTGAAATAAATCACATATGGTGCGTTTGTTTAACTATTCGTGTTTGTTGGGCTGTGATTCGTGTGTCATGTAGTCACAGCCTTACAGTCACCTAAAAAAGAAATGAAAGATAGTTTGTATTGTCACTAATCAATATCACAAAGGCACCATAAAATATTGTGATAAAACTTTAAGTCCATATCGCCAACCTAAAGTGTAGGGATAATAGAAATATTGTTATTACGATTATTTATCGCAATAAATCCCAATCATGTTCATCCCACCCAATGTTAAACTATAAAAAATTGAAATAAAAATAAATACTTAAAAAAATACAAGGGTTTCATGAGAGACCAACAGATGATCCAGTGAGTTTCACATGGCTGAATGAAAACAACCAAGACGATGAAGCCGGCATGCCAACAGCATTCTCTCTTCGTCTGAAACCAAACCTGATCAATAACAGTGATTGGTGATCTGAGTCCAGGTTAGGGAACGTCAGGTACTACCATGGAGGGGCGTGTCTCAGTAGCTGCGTTGCCATCTGACATTTTGAAAGTTAATTTGCTTATAGAAACATGGGAACTCTGAAAAGCGGAAAGGTTTTTCTTTCTTTTTTTTTTGTCT